AGAATGCTTAAAACATTAAAATTTAAGATTACTGGGTAGTTAAAAAATTCTGTTAAAAAAGCCGTTAACATTACATTCGTCATGTAATTTTATTACAATTATCTCCTCCTTACGTATTCCTAAATGTCAGGCTGTCGATAATTCTGTCAACACCTCATAAAAACACCATGCTAAAGAAATGATATTTATTTATTTATTTTGTAATATTTTATACTGAAAGTAATATTCGTTTAAATTCACATTACATACACTTTAAATCAGCTATTTTTTCTAATAACGTTTCAGAAAGGTATATTTTATTTTTGAAAAGGATTGTTGTCTTGACAGATTTATCAATATGAACCATTTTATAGATTTTATAATAATTTTACTGATAACCAGAAAAAATCTAATCAGTTTAAATTCGGTTTGAAATACATCAAAGAATTTTACTTATTGGAAATATTAAATTTTTATTTAATCTAAATAGCTTGGAATTAAAGCTAAAAAGCTCCAAGGATTTTTAAAATGCATAAACAATAGGTATGGCATTTTTTTTTTTTTTTTTTAGATATATACCCATATGTTCAGTTACAGCGTTAAAACACTCTGGCATTTTAATTAGGCAGTCTTATGAACTTAAATAGAATTTTTTGTCCGCGTTTTAGTAAATGCAAAATCAAACAGTGACTATATATTTAAAATTTTCAAGATTAGTGCGAAGTAAAAAAATTATAAAAAAGGCGTTCATGTTTTCAGTTTTATTTCATGTAATTTTTTCCCAGCTCTGTCCCCGCTTACTTAAAATCCCTAAACTAAACACTAGGCTGATAAAAATCACTCAAAACGTCAAAAACTTCCTCTCCGTGTTGGAAAAGATGCTTTTCTGCGATATTTTAAACTAAAAGTAATTTATTTCAATTCAGCAGATTCATTACTGACAGAGAGAAAAAATTCCAATCAATTTAAATTCAGTTTGAAATGCATCAAATTTTTTTTCTTATTCTGAAATCTGAATATTAAATAAATGCCTATTAGCTTGACTTTAAAACTAGTTTCAAAAAATATTTTTTAAAATGCATTTTTTAAGAATGTTGGAGATGTGCAGAATTGTAATTGAGTGAATCAAGGAATTTGTGTAGGTTGCGTGACTTTCTGCATCCACAAACAAATAAATAAACGAATTTTAAATACAATCAAAAACAAGACATATTCAATTTAGAAACCAACAAAACATTTATATACAATTAAAAGTAATATATATACAGGATATTTTGGTATATGTTACTATGGCGAAGTGTGTGTGATATTTGAGGTTTCGGTATGTCTCTTTTTGTATTTGAATGTTCAATTACAGTGTTTCTGGAATTGTGTTAATTAACATTAAAAATGTCGATGTTAAGTGTTTTTAGAAATGAGTTCTTATACAGTAGTCTAGCTTTGACTATAATATTTCTGAATCGTTCGAATGTTGATTTTTACTTAATAATGTAGTGAGTATAGTTCTCTTTGGATAAGCAAAGTTGTTTTAAGCTTGCGATTTGATGTCCACAGAGTTTGTCGAGTTTAAATTGCAAGTGAGTCGGCGTTGATGTACTTTTGCGCGGTAAAGTCGTGATTTCGAGTGACGTGGAGTATGTTGGCAATTTCTCTGTAGATGTTCGTCTCTCTGACCTTTTTGGTCAGTCAGTATTTTCTTTTATATGTTTTTGAAAGTCCAAAATCGGCTCAAAGAAGTTTTGGCGCAATTTTGTTTTGCACGTGAAACTTTCAGATTATTGTGTCGTTAACCAATGAGATTTGTTGAATCGCCTAGTACGGTTTTTTATTGGTCGAAGTTTTCCGTACGTAGGCGTAAGGTATAGACTGTTCTGTTACTAGGGGTTATAGGTAGAAAAGGACGAGTTTACAAGAATAGGTATAGATTTTTTCTTACCTACACTTTTTAGAGGATCAATACCTAGATAATAGTTTTTAATATTTTGAGTCATCAGTGTACATTTAACGTTTCCTTTTCATATATATTGAAAATAATTTTTGCAACTTATACTCCCTTTATTTTTAATTGTATTTTACTATTTTTAAGAACAAATTACATCAAATTATAATTGCCCTCCACTCCTCCCGTTCCGAAGATTGCTAAAAAAAAAAAAAAAGCAATCTTCCTTTCAAGTGGGATTCTTACTGGATTCTCCATTTTAAACTTATTTTTAAATGTTTTGGACATTTTTTTATTATTTCCTGATTGCCAATTTAACATTAAAATTTTTAATACATATCTTGACCTTCGTGTTCAAGACCATTAGACACCCGACAAACAGGAAAATTTAAGGTCTCTGTCCGCTACCTTTTCCTAAATGCCAAACCCTAAAAGCAAAACAAAACGTCTACGACTCTACGTTTTGCTGTTTAGTGTTGTATTTTAAAAAAAATTTAATAATGGACATACGCTGTTAAGTGGGTAACTTTCTTCATCATTCTTTCTTTTTCTTTTGAATTAAAAATATGCGATACTTTTAAAAGAATCGGTGACGTCCAAACTTAAGGTAAGGAATAATTTTTTAAACAGTAACCATAGTAAATAAACTGGTTATTTAACATCACATGTCACGGGAAAATGTTCTACCTGCTTGTTTGTGTGTTCTTCTGTTCTGGCGGCATATCAATTCTGTCAATTATCTAATGCCGAATAATTTTACTAAATGGTTGTTGATTCCATCACTACCTAAATTTGCGTTTAGGAAAGGATGTTCATTCTTTTAGGAAAAATGGATGAATGATAGGTGTTTTTGTAGAGTTTCGCACGTCGGGGTTACCATTATGTAGAGTTTCGTGTCGGCGATGTTGTTGAGTAGAAGTAGATGAACACGTGTGAATTAAGATTTTCCTGTTAGCCGGTCCAACGACATGAGAAAGCTGGACTTTAATTAAGTCCAAACAAGGCAAAGAAAAACAAACACAAGACCGATAAATATATGTAAACAAATATATGTATTAATAACAAGAAATGTTACAAGTTACATGGACAGTTACATGGACAGAGTGTGTGTGGTAAATATTATGCGTGTGTGTGTTGTGTTGTGGTGAGTGTTCGTACGTACGTGTATTGTGCTTAGCGTGTTCCCAATGACGAAGAAGTTCGTAGAAGATATTGAACGGGAAAGATCTGTCGTCTCGATTAGCGAGACGGTGAATTGTAGTCGTCACATTTTTAAGCTTAAGTAAGCGGTCGAAAAATGATCTGTTGCTGATCTGCCCAGGTCTGCGTCTGCCTCTCCTGGTCACACGTGCTTTGGGTTCTTTTTAAGAGGTCATGATCACGTGGGGTGGCTCCAGAGCGATTTTGCACCAAAACTTCGAACTGCACGTGCGGGCGACCTGATTGGTAGAAATTAGCCAATCAGAGGGCTAGATTTACGAATGAAAGTTAGAATAGTGCATTTCTCGAAGAAGGAAAAGATTGGGCCAATAGACGAGTCGAATATCTTCTCTTTTGATTCTTGATAGGACGATTTCTTTCTCCTGTGAAATCATGATGCAATTCTCCTAGAATTGTTTTTTTTTTTTTTTGTAAAATTTGTTTGGATAACATTACCAGCCATGATGTGAAATAACTTTCTATCAAAGATAATGCCCGAAAATTTATATTGGTCCACTACAGTAATATCAAAACCATCAAGTTTTAAATTCGGGTTGTGGTGTAGTTGTGGAGTTGACAGAAATGTACACACTGTTTTTGTTTTAGAGAGTCTTGTAGGAGTTACCTCCTCTTTAGTTCCCTAATTCTTCACCAGGGTTCTCTCTCACCATGCTATAAATACCGGGCGACCTCTTGCCGCGATCTTTTTTTCCCTCAGGCCTCGTGCCGCATTCCACCTCGCGTGGAAGTGAGGTAAATCTCTTTTTCTTCTTCATTTCAGCGACAAGATGTAAACTCTTAGAAGATCAGCGTTTCCCATTTCTGGAAAACGCTATAAACATTACAAACATTCGCCAAAATAACATTCACCAAAGAACACACATAATGTTATGTCTATGTGTCTTGTAATTTGTTTATATATATATCTGTCTTGTTTGTCTTCTTTCATCTTCGGTTGAACAAATTAAGTCCGCCAATTTTCATGTAGTTGGATCTTTTAATATTCTACCAGGAGTTACACACGTGTTTCTAATATAACAACACGTAAATACACACACGGTCCTCTACAGTCTCATTTTCAGTGGCCCATTTATTTGAGATATTGTTGGAGTTGGCACGCAATTGTATCGGTGTTTTTCGATCTATTGCAGATTAAGAAATCATTGACATACAATGAACAGTCAATTCCTGTCTGTTATTTTTATAAATGAAAATAAAATATAAAATATTAATAACGAAAATTATAATTAGGATAAAATAAAATTTAAACCCCATTTAAAATAAATAAAAACAATAAAATTACTCCCAGCATGCAACAGAAACATGCGCTGCCGGAAATACGAACATCCCGCCAAGAGACGTGAGATTCAATCTCTTTGCCCAAGAGCTGTCAGGATGACAACACGTGTGCTTACCCCCCCCCGTGATATTACGAAGTGACTTACTCCTTTCTATACGATGAACCTTATCACAATTGTAATGTAAAACACACACACTAAATACATAAATAAAATTGTATGAAACTACCATACAATTTACCATGTTGTTTTATTGCTATTATGCACATTTGTTTATTCTATTTTTCCTTGTGAACACAAGCTCAAAAGTGATGACCACATGATATAAGTGAATATACCTCCACAATGGTAGTGCCAACTTGGACTGTTGCGGGGCCGATAAGGATGTCGCCCCCGCAAGCTTTACGAAGAAAGTTGTGAACAGCTAAGACAATGAGGAACAAAGTCAGAGGTTTAGAATAACAAACGTCGGATTTATTTGCCGATCTGGACAGGAATTGTTTGGTGTAGTTCGATCGTGAAGTCAGGTGGTGCCAGTTGAAGGATCGTTTTTGGGTTCAAGGCGGCAGCTCTGAGGCAGGCAGATGGAACAGCGGTATTCGAGGTCCAGTCGAACCCCCGGATGTTCGCCCTTTGTAAAGAAGCGCGTTGGCGTTTTTGAAGAGGATCGGCGTAGACAGTGCTGGGGTAGCCTGTTCGTCCTTAGAATGACAGTCGTGTAAGAACGCAGCTTGGTAGTCCTTGGAAGGACTATCTCATGTAAGACGGTTAGTTAGTCCTTAGAAGGACCATCAACACATCACGAGGCTAGGTAGTTCTTAAAAGGACTATCGCATATCATGTGGCTTAGGTAGTCCTTAAAAGGACTATCGCATATAATGTTCGGCTGCTGCTGCTGTTGAAGTTGGTTCGGCCAGCTGCTGCTGTTGAAGTTGGTTCGGCCAGCTGCTGCTGCTACTGCTGAAGTTGGCTTGGCCCGCTGCTGCTGCTGAAGTTGGCCCGGCCAGCTGCTGCTGCTGAGGTTGGCTGTGCGGTTGTTGGGGCGACGAGGGTCGGCCAGGTGAAGGTGAGAGGGGGAGCACGAGGCTCTACCCCAGGAGCCAAGTCAGCTAAGTTGGCCGGCCAGCTGCTGCTGCTGAGGTTGGCTGCTTCGTGTTGTCAGCGACGAGGGTCGGCCAGGTGAAGGTGAGAGGGGGAGCACGTCGCTCTACCCCGGAGCCAAGTCAGCTAAGTTGGCCGAGTTCTTTGGTGGGAGAAATCGGCTGTGTTTATGTTGGCTGCGGTTAGCATCGTTGCTGATTGGCAATGTCTTTTGGTTGATGACTAAAAATTACCTTCCGCATTTTGACTGTACACATGGGTTTCATTTGGACACCATGTGTATATAAAGTAGTTTCTGGTCATTATTTTTAGTTAGGAGGACTTGTGTATGTTTATGATTCATTTGTTTTGCTTTTTGTGTACCGTTCTCTGAAAAACGCTGAGTCACCGGAAATTAACGTCATTCGTTCTGTTTTCCCTGGTGACGCTTTCGGACGTTTGAGTAGCCGGCAGTAACTTCCGGCCGGGTGCGATAGGACATTGAAAACAGATTTTGTTAAGAAAAAATTATTAATAAGGATTGTCAGTTTTCATTTGACTCATTTAGTTTTTAGATCATGTATGATACCGTGTTTCCATGTGGTATCAGAGGCCTTTTCTATGTCAAAGAACACTACTGTCACGTGTTTCTAATGGATTCTAAGCGAACCGGCTGGTCTAATGTATTTATGTTGTGGGGGTCAATTGCCCTCATTAATTTTTATTAGACACAATGCCACAAAATAATAACATAATAAATAAGAAGAAACAAGAAAATTCAGACAAAAGTAATTGTACAAGTAAATATATTTTTATATAACAAATGTACAAAACAGTGGTTATGAATGTTCATTAAAATGGTGAAATAAACTTGTCTTTTTAGATTTTTGTGTGAGGTAAAGTTCCAGTTTGATAGACTGCAAGTTGTAGGACAATTTGCGTGAATTTTGAAAAATTCAATTCAATGTGATTTTGTTTGTTTTCAAAATAAACAGATCAAAGTTTGTGGGAAAAGTGTGTGTAAGTGAGTGTGACTTACGTTGTGTTTGACGTTTGAGTGTCTGTCGCTTCGTTGTTTGCTGACGTAAGTTTAGCTTGCATTGAATGAAAGAAATAGACTGTGGTTATGTTAAAAAATTTTAGCTCATAGTCTGGACTTCAGGTTAAAGTTATTTTATGATGAGTGTCGTCACGTAAGCCTGTAGATTTTCGGCTGATTTTTCTTCCACCCGCAGTTTCTTAATTGTTTGTTGTTTATATAAGCAATATAAGTCACGTGATAAGCGCCAGAAAATGTTTTAAAATTTTGGCGCAACTGTACCTATGATTAGGTCAAATTAAGGTCAGACGTGCGGATCTAGTCGACGATATGCCATGTGATATTTATGAACCAATCAAATTACGTTAGTTGTGTAATTTAATTTGGATCTTATATTTTTTAATTTTTGAAGTTTTAAGAACAATATGGGTTTTCTTTTGTATTTTTTTTATGTGAACGTCGGGGTGATCAATTTTGTTGGTGGAACGTCGGGGTCGCCAATTTTGTTGGTGTGTGAACTCACGTCGTTGGGTCACCAATTTTGTTGGGGACATGCAGAATTGTTAATTATTTAAGAAAGAATCAGAAGGAATTTTGAGTTGGTTGCGTGTCTTGCTGCATCCCAAACAAATAAATAAATGAAATTCAGAATGTAATTGAAAACGAGACATATGCAATTTAGAAATCAATGCAACATTTATATACAATTTAACAATATACAGATTGGATAATCAGTGTGTGTCGTGTGGACAAAATGTGTGTGTAATTGTTAGATTTGTGAATGTCTCTTTGTTGATATTGTTCGTTGATTCGCTGTCTTTTTGTTTGTGTTAATAATTGTAATTGTGAATTATAAGTGTCTTTTGAAAAGAGTTTTTTAGAGTGATCTACCCTTAAAAGTAGTTGATGTTTTCGTAATGTTGTATGTTCGTTGATGTTTACTTATTTGTAAAGTAGTGAATTTAAGTCACTGTACATAAGCAAAGTTGAGAAAAGTGTTCACAGAGTTGATTAATGAATGATCGAATATGAGTCAGCGATGTATCTTCGTGCGCGGCAAAATTGTGGTTCGTAGTGGCGTGGAGTATATTGGAAAGTACTCTGCGAATTCGTAAGACTGACTGTCTGGGGCTGTCTACGTTTATTTTTATATCGTTTGAATTTCCAAAAGTGGCTCACTTGATTTTGGCGCAATTTCTGTTTTGCACGTGAACTTCAAGTGATTGACCAATGGGGTTGTTTGCTTCGTTTCTTGCCGTTTTTATTGGTTGAAGTTTTTTTAGGTACGATGTGGACTGTGCTTTTGTTAGGGTTGGAAAGGTAAGGATATTGGACGAGTCCACAATACCTCCCCCTAGATTAATGCTATGATCAATTGGCATTAATATGTTATATATGTTCGAAATTTAGTTGGCCAATGAACATGTGTGCCGGATTTTGTGCGAGTAGACTGCGTTGATGGAGACGTATTTGTTGTCGTTGTCTGCGTATTTGGTTGTTCTGATGTTGTCGTTTTTGGTGGTGTTTGGTTTACGTCGTCGCACTATACGTATGCTGGTTTAAGTCTGTCGATGCTGACAGTATTTTGCTTACCAGCAACGTCATTAATGAAATATTTTGGTGTTCTGGATATCACCAGATGTGGACCTGTATAATTCGGTGTTAAAGGTTTTCGTACTGCGTCTCGACGCAGGAAAACGTAATGGTTTTTTACAGACCCGAGTGGGAGTATATATTATGTCTGTCATTTTTTTCTTGAGGTCGGCCACAAAATAATTGGCAGGAGTAGAATTCGTTACGTTCTGTCATGAATGTAGAAGAGACGATTAGTCTTTAAATGTCTGGCATCCAACGTCTCTACTGGGTGCCAGCGTGTCCGTTTCCCGCTTGATTACTCGGGAATGACTTCCTATATGAACAAGGTTGTCTACATTTCTTCGCGCGCGCGCCAAAGTTCTCGTGGTACCAACAATTTGCATGTTGATAACGATCTCGTCGTTGTTGATATTTATGCCGAGACGTTGATCTTGAATTATGTTTGTTGTGTTTCGTAGAATTATCACGTCGACTTGTATGTGATTTCTGTAAATCACGTAATTGTATAGATATTTCTTGCAGTTCCGAAGACAATTTTTGTATCTGTCGATTAACATCTGGCACAATGCCATCCACTGTCTCCGTTGCGGAAATGTGTCTTATCGGTGTAGTGTCGACTACTTTATCTGCTATTGTTGCAAGTTTTTGAATATCTACGTCGTCTGCTAAAGCGGCTAAAATTCGTAGTTTATCTCGCCACATTTGGCGGAATACTGTGGTTGATATGTCGTTATCACCCAACAGTTGTTGCATTCGCCGTAGTAGTTGAGATGGTTTCGCATCTCCAATCGTAACGTTCGTTAAAAGGTCTCGTATCTTTCTTTCTTCTGAAAAACCAGATCTGTGTAGTATTGCTTGTTTGAGAGTTTCGTATGGTTTTTCTATGGGTAAAGAGGTTAATATGTCGGCTACCTCTGCAGGTAGTTTCTCCACCACTCTCGCGAATTTCGATTGCTGTGAGGTTATATGTCTGGCCTGGAATATCGCGTCCAATTGTAAAAACCAGGTCTGCACATTTGAGTTAAAAACAGGCATTTCCAGTCTGATGGCCGTTTCTGTTATAGGAACTGAATCAGCCATTTATGATGTTGAATTTTCTTGTTTCTGTATTTTCGGTCTGCTGTTTCGAACACGTGACAATTTATTTTCTTCCCACGCGTTTGGAATTACCACTAATTTGATTTTGTTCGTTAGGATTAGGTTTTCTTTTGTATTTTTTTTTTATGTGAACGTCGGGGTGATCAATTTTGTTGGTGGAACGTCGGGGTCGCCAATTTTGTTGGTGTGTGAACTCACGTCGTTGGGTCACCAATTTTGTTGGGGACGTGCAGAATTGTTAATTATTTAAGAAAGAATCAGAAGGAATTTTGAGTTGGTTGCGTGTCTTGCTGCATCCCAAACAAATAAATAAATGAAATTCAGAATGTAATTGAAAACGAGACATATGCAATTTAGAAATCAATGCAACATTTATATACAATTTAACAATATACAGATTGGATAATCAGTGTGTGTCGTGTGGACAAAATTGTTAGATTTGTGAATGTCTCTTTGTTGATATTGTTCGTTGATTCGCTGTCTTTTTGTTTGTGTCAATAATTGTAATTGTGAATTATAAGTGTCTTTTGAAAAGAGTTTTTTAGAGTGATCTACCCTTAAAAGTAGTTGATGTTTTCGTAATGTTGTATGTTCGTTGATGTTTACTTATTTTAAAGTAGTGAATTTAAGTCTCTGTACATAAGCAAAGTTGAGAAAAGTGTTCACAGAGTTGATTAATGAATGATCGAATATGAGTCAGCGATGTATCTTCGTGCGCGGCAAAATTGTGGTTCGTAGTGGCGTGGAGTATATTGGAAAGTACTCTGCGAATTCGTAAGACTGACTGTCTGGGGCTGTCTACGTTTATTTTTATATCGTTTGAATTTCCAAAAGTGGCTCACTTGATTTTGACGCAATTTCTGTTTAGCACGTGAACTTCAAGTGATTGACCAATGGGGTTGTTTGCTTCGTTTCTTGCCGTTTTTATTGGTTGACGTTTTTTTTTAGGTACGTAGGCGTACGATGTGGACTGTGCTTTTGTTAGGGTTGGAAAGGTAAGGATATTGGACGAGTCCACAGTTCTGATAAAGAGAAATGTTGGTTGTAATCTTCGTTGCTTGAGTAAAACTTTAGTTTTTATCCTGGAATTGTGTACAATAGTTATTTGATGAGGATTTAAAAATATTTGTCTAGTAGATTTGTTATATCCTTTTTGTTTAGTGTTGTTTTGTTATAGATATTTCAAGGGAGTACTTTGTATTTGGTAGGGATTTTGCGTATCATATTCCAAACAAATTTGCTTTTTTTTGCATTGGAAATGATATTGGATAAAAATTTGATTGGTGTTTTTAATTGTTCTTTGTGCTTTAGATTTTCAGGGATTGGGTGCAGTTTAAATTTACGTAGTGCAGCGCGTTGTACTCTA